AAGGCCACAACGTCGAAAGCGCATATGCTCACGGTTGTAACATGTCCAGGCAGCAGAGGTAGTAGCGAAGCAATGACCAATCATCGTGTGGACGTGGATGGTGCACCAGACCTTAATCCGGGGTTACCCATCATGGCTGAAGGTAACTATTATGCAGATGGGATTGGTGGCGTTCAGATATTAGACGATGAAAACAAAGGCAGCGCGAGAGATGCATCTCCAAGGGAACCTACACGCATAGTACATCCCGCTCGATCGTTCAGGCACCAAACAATTCAACGTCAGGTGAGTCACAATTTACATTCATTGAGCAACTCAATTTCTAATTCGAACGTCCTCAACTGTAATCGAATTTTCTGGGTCAACTACGAGATATCTGAGGCGTCGAAACAGTGGGAGAGGGGGAAACAGTTGGGGGTTACCTTCAAAGGTGATGAAGGGAGCATAGTTGAACAATTCAGGAGACTTGAAAGTGGAGATTTGAAGCAGAAGTTGGTATTACAACACCAAACACACAGAGGGGAAATCCTTCATGATTTATGAAAATTATCTCCTTCAATGTGAGGGGCCTCGGTAGGGAGGTGAAACACGGGGTCATAAGGAGGATGGTTGCGAAACATGGGATCGATTTATTATGTATACAGGAGACGAAGAAGGAGAACATTCCTGAAACACTGGTGAAGAAGCTATGGGGTAGTGGGGATTGCGAATGTGCATGGTCACCATCAATAAACACTGCAGGTGGGTTGCTTTGTATCTGGGATCCAAATAAGATAAACGTAACCTCTCAGTTCTCAGGCTTGGGATACTTGGGCTTGATTGGTATAGTGAAAGAATCTGGCGATGTTGTGGTAATGGTAAATGTATATGCACCCTCTGAGGGGGGGGTAAGAAAAAACCTTTGGGATGAACTCATGTCTTGTAGGGAAGATAGTTCAAATTCATTATGGTGCATGGTGGGGGATTTTAACAGCATTAGATCACTGGAGGAAAGGGTGGGCCTTGCGTCTGGGATGTATGCCGTTACAGATATTGCAATGTTTAATGGTTTCATACAGCTCATGGAGATGGAGGATGTACCACTAGCAGGAAGAAAATTCACATGGTATAGGCCTAATGGTGCAGTAAAAAGTAGAATAGATCGTGTATTGGTCTCTAAGGAATGGTCTATGAGATGGCCATGCGCTAGTCAATTGGTGCTAAACCAAGGTATTTCTGATCATTGCCCGATATTGATGAGAAATGACGGGGCTGATTGGGGCCCAAAACCATTCAGAATATTTAATTCATGGCTACAGAGAGAGGAGATCAAGAAAATGGTGACCAAAGAGTGGTCTGATCTGGTGGTGCTTGGCTGGGCGGCATTCAGGCTTAAAGAAAAAATTAAACTCTTGAAGCACAAAATCAAGGCTTGGGTTAATGAGACATTAGCTGGGATGGGAAGTACCGCACAAGGGGTGATGGATGAGTTGAATAAGCTTGATAGAATTGAGGAGTGCAGAGAGTTATCAGAGGATGAGAGGGACCGAAAGATGCAACTTCAACAATCATTTTGGGAAATTGCTATTAGAGAGGAGTCACAATTGGCTCAAAAATCACGGGTTCGCTGGATTCAACTAGGAGACTTAAATTCAAAATTCTTTCACTTAGTTGTAAATGCGAACCGCAAGAAGAGTTCATTGAATGGGCTACTTATAAATAACACTTGGATAGAAGAACCGATTAATGTAAAAGAGCATATTAAGTCATTCTTCCAGGAAAGGTTTTCAGAATAGCATAGTAAGAGGCCAGTGCTTGATGGTGTATGTTTTCAGCAACTAAACCAACAGCAGAGGTTGAATTTGTCTAGGAGATTTGATGAGGTTGAAATAAGGGCTGCAGTATGGGAATGTAATAGTGATAAATGCCCAGGGCCAGACGGGATAAATTTCAAGTTCATCAAAGAATTTTGGGATTTACTTAAAAATGATATTGTGTCCTTTGTACAACAATTTTATGAAAATGCAAAGCTCCCAAAAGGCACAAACTCCTCATTCATATCATTAATTCCGAAAGTTGACAATCCAATGCAGTTGAACGACTATCGACCAATATCTCTAGTGGGGTGTATGTACAAAATATTGGCCAAAACTCTTGCTAGGAGATTGAAGATCGTACTACCTTTGTTGGTGGATGAGAGACAGATGACATTTGTGGAGGGTAGGGGGTTGCTACAAAGTGCTGTCATTTTAAATGAAACTCTTGACGAGGTGAGACGGATGAGGAAGGCTTGCATTTTTTTCAAAGTTGATTTTGAAAAGGCGTACGATTCAGTGTCATGGTCATTCTTATTGTACATGCTTCAAAGACTTGGATTTGACGACCGTTGGATTAGTTGGATCAAGGAATGCTTGCGCTCGTCATCCATGTCGGTATTAGTGAACGGAAGCCCAACCAAGGAGTTCAATGTCCAAAAAGGGATTAGACAAGGAGATCCCCTTGCACCGTTATTGTTTGTCCTAATAGCAGAAGGGTTGACAGGGCTAGTTAGAGAGGCAATAAAGAAGAAGCTATTCTCAGGCGTCTCAGTGGGCTCATGTAAGGTACCAGTGGATATTCTACAATATGTTGATGACACTATATTCATTGCTGAGGATAATCTTGAGAATGTTAAAACTTTGAAAGTCATTCTTCGGTGTTTCGAATTATCTAGTGGATTGAAAGTGAACTTTGCAAAGAGCAGTCTTGGTGGGATTGGTGTTGATAGGGAGACATTGATATCATATGCTGAACAGCTACACTGCAAGCTGTCAAATATCCCATTTCAGTATTTGGGTATTCCAATAGGGGCAAATCCTAGAAGATGTACTACTTGGCAACCTATTATTAGGAAGTTTTCTAAGAAGCTTTCTACTTGGAGAGCTAGAACTCTATCCATTGCGGGAAGAGTATGCCTGATTAATTCTGTTCTTACATCTTTACCATTATACTTCATGTCATTTTACCGGATGCTGAGATTGGTGGTAAAACAAATCACCAAATTGCAAAGGAATTTCTTGTGGGGGGCCAAGCAAGATGAAGCAAAAATGGCGTGGGTTTCTTGGAACAAAATTACCATGCCTAAGGAGGAGGGAGGGTTGGGCATTAAAAGACTTGACTTGTTTAATGATGCACTACTTGCAAAATGGAGGTGGAAATTATTCCATGAACCGAATTCCTTATGGGGAAGAGTTTTGGTTTCCAAATATGGTGTCAGGGCAGCCATTGAGGAAGGCTCATTGACGAACAAAATGTCATTATGGTGGCGGGATATAATGTTGGCATCCAGAGGGGAGAATAACAACAATTGGTTTATGGATGCAGTTACTTGGAAAATAGGGGATGGCAAAAGAATAAGGTTTTGGTTTGACTCGTGGGTAACTGATGAGCCGTTGGTAATGAGGTTTAGTAGAATTTTCTCGGTTTCAACTCAGCAACACAATTTGGTTTATAATATGGGGTATTGGAGCTCAGGGAGATGGCAGTGGAGATTAGACTGGCGTAGGCCATGGTTTGCTTGGGAATTAGAGCATGTGGAGGAGCTAAGGGGAATTCTAGAGGCTGCACCAATGAGGGAGGACAGGACAGACCAGTGGGAATGGGAACTCGATGGAGCTGGTATATTCATTGTGAGATCAGCATATAAGGAACTACTAGCAAGGACAACAGGATCCCAACAAATAGGGTTTACATCTGTTGTGTGGAGGATCAAAGTCCCACCAAAAGTTCAAATATTTACATGGAGGTTGTTCCTAAATGCGTTACCAACAAAGGACCAACTAATGAACAAGAATGTTGCAGTACACATAGACCAACGATTCTGCCCTTTCTGTAATGAGGAACCAGAAACAATCCAACATGTCTTCTTCACCTGTACTTATGTGGATAAAGTGTGGAAGTATATATATATAGAGAGAGAGGAGGAATCAAATAACTTACAAAATAACTTTTGATAAAGTTATTCTGCTTAATAACTCATGGTATGTGTTTTTTTTTTTTTTTGAAAAGCAAAGATATATTAATATATGGCACTAGGGGTGCCATGAACCCTATATACAGATAAAAAGCTTGGTTAGATATAATATAATCAATTTGACTATATTAGTGACTAACCATGCAAAAGAAATTACAATATGAAATCAACCCACGTGGGCAAATGATGGTGGGTACTGTGGGTTGCGATGTGCTGGTGTACATGGAATATGAGAAACCAATGCGTATTTCAGCAAGGTGAGTTCGATGAACAAAAGCTTGGACAATAGGTAATAATGTTCTCTTGGTCGTGGTTAGCATCTCTTGATAAATCATTTTCTTATTCATTCACTCAGTGGCAAATGAATATTGGCCTATGCATACTCGGGGTAGGAGACTTTGCATAACAAGGCTAGTTGGCTGATGATAAATAGGAGTGGTGTTTCCTGGTATGTAATGTATAAGGGTGTGTGGCCATTAAGCACACCAAATCTTGTATAAGGGCCTTTGGTACCCCTGGTACCAACATCATATATATATAATTTTCTTTGCCTTTCAAAAAAAAAAAAATCATTGTTTATACTAGCACTATTTGACACCTAATTAAGCACTATCGCCTCACTTTTCTATTTCCTGATATTCTTCTAAAAAAAAAAGAAAAAAACTCTCGGTGTTTATCATTTAGATCAAAGATGTTTGGAACCATTGAAGTCGTGACTCACAATGCATGTTCCAATTGTTCTATGCAAAATGTAAATGGTTCTCACATCTCCTCTTCGCCAACTCCCACCTTGCTTTGTTGTCATCTCTTTTTTCTCCCCCATCTCCATCTACTCCCTCAACCACACATGGGTTTGTGGAAGAGGAAAGAGACGAATAGTTTCATATAATTTTTTTATGCACATTATTAGTTCCAAACAATAAAAATAATAATAGGGTGAAACTAAAAGAAAAAAAATCTAGTAAAGAGGGCGCATGATCATATGATTGTATGAATGACATTAATCTAATGGAAAAATAAAATGGTATATCATAAACCTCTTACTAATGTGGTTCATGCTAGCCTTAATCACTCTTTTAACTTGCTATTTATGGAAAAACTATCGAAAATCACACAAAAAAGAAAATTTAACCCCTTCAAGTATGTTTTTGGCTACTTTACTAACAAAGAACATTTTTAAAGTAATTGTTCAATGAACATTCCAGTATCATAAAGGAAAGGAGAAAACATCAAAAGAATTGATATTGTACAAAATTATTATTAACTAGTTGGTCACAAGCGTTGACATTAGTCAGCCTTGGAATCTTGTGAATTTTGATGCTCCATAAATCCATGTAAGGATCCCAATCTGGTAACATTGATATAATCCGTTGGAAAATGAGCCGGTAGTCCTGGAATTATCATTCCAAAGAGCCTGAAAATCGTCATTAACCAATTTTGTATATACTCTTTACCTTCTACAAATGGGATAAGAAATCCTCTAATAACCTCCCAAACTGCGTTTAGGATCTTGGGTATGACCCAAAACAAAGAGAAATAATTCTTGTTGGGCTCCTCCTCTAGAACCTGAATTGCATTAGACACACAAAAAAAAAGTTCACCTATTTAACCAAACACAAAATAAAAAATCATTCACTATCAACATTTGAGTAAATGTCCACTTTAGTAACCAAGTTTAGAAGATATTATCATATTAGTTCTTGATATTATCATATATATCAATATTATTACTTTAGCTATACACATTTTTTTAATTAAAATTTTGAACTAATATGATTGTTGATTTTTACTTTAATGAACCTATTTGACAAATATTTAGTATCAGAACTAATATGACAACAACATCTTCCAAATTCAAGACCAAAGTGAGTATTTATAAATTAACATTTGATATATACCTGGCCATGGTAGAAGCTGTTGAAGTAGAGGCAAGGGCCAAAGTGCTTAAAGAAGAGGGTTTTGTCATCATAAGGAACCCTAGGCACCACGTCGTTGCAATAAACATACCTCATATACCTCACATCATACTTTCTAAGCTTATCCTTCATGAACTCCCCAAACTGATTGTCCCCAACACGTGGCTGTCCAAATGTGTAAACCCCTTCCAACTTGTCCAACAACCATTCCTCCTCATGCAGTGTGAGCACTGCAGCAAACAAAATGGCCAATGCTCCTCCTAAGCTGTGCCCTGCCAATATAAATTTTGCATCCTCTTTTGCCTCCAACATGGCTCTAAGCTTCTCTCTTATTGAATAGTAGGCATAACGATGCTGGGAACTGCTTTGATCTATCTCTTTGGGCCATCCACTGTTTTTCTGTAGACCTAATGCTTTCATGAAACCACCATGTATTCTACCCACATTGGGCAACTCGTACCATGAGATATCCACATCTGTTCTCCATTGATCTGCATCGAATGGCTCTGTGCCCCTGAATGCAACCACGATCAAGTTGGGTTCTGACTTGGTATCTTGCACTATGATTGCTCGTGTGGACCAGAGCTCTTGGTAATCTGCATGCCATCATTTGTATTGGATCAAAAATGGGTCAATTCCCTTTAAAGCAAAAATATAAACATTAAGGTTTTAAATTGTGGTTGGAGTTGCAATCAGTCCAGCTATTATGATGATTGTAACGTAAAATTATTATATATTTATATCAAACTTAAACAAATAATTTTATAATAATAAAAATTAATTAAAAATTTTTCATTTAATTTTATAATAATAAAATGCATCATAAAGTCCACAACATTTTAACAAATCATCATTAAATGTTTCGCTCTCTCTTATAATATATTATGTGACCACACTTATTAATTTGCCAATAATCTTAAATAGAAAATATAACATATATTTGGTGGATATATTTTTAGTTTCTTAAGAATTAGAAGTTGAGATACCTTAGTTTATCATGTTTTTACCTGCTTATGATGAAATTGTTTTTAATAAAATGTGATAATTTAACTTTCTTAAGTTGAATAAAAAGTTTTAATGTAATAAAAATATAGCATTATTTCATAATTTTATTAACTCGTTTAAATAGTTAAAATATTGTAAGTGTTAAGTATCACATAAAATATGTGTATCTTATAAACATGTATAAAACGTTTCAAGAATACTTATGAAACAAATTTTAGTTATTTCTATTAATCATTATAATTCTTCGACATGGAATATTTTTTTTATTCTACCAAACATACACCTTTGATTTTCCATGATTAATTGATTTATTATTTAAAATAATAACATTTTCAAGAAACAATTCTAATTCTTTTCTTATGTTTTCACAGAATTGTTGTTATAAAAGTGATGAGAATCTAATTTTTCAGAGTTGAAAAATAAGTTTTATTATTATAAAAATATTACATTTATCTTTATTAATTCATTTATTAAGGTTAAGTTAAAGTTTATAAGAAATTTCTATTAAAATTAAACATAAAAGAATTTGATTTCTAATAAACATATTTAAATATTTTTAAAACTATTTATGATCAATCAAACTAATTCTAGTCATTTTTAAATACCATGATTCTCAAAAATTCTTGAACATAAAAAAAATGTCCTTCTAAAATTAAGAAAATTTTAAACAATTTTGTAAAAATTCCAGTTGATTCCTCTAATTTTATAAACTTAACTAATTTTTATTTTGATTCTTAAAAACATGTTTAAATTATCCCTTAAGATACTTAAAAAAAAAAAGAAAGAAAGAAGAGATTAATGTATTTACTCATTATACATTTAGGGACTAATTTTCTTCGTTTTACAGCTTAATCAATATAGTGTGGACATGTCACATGTATATCGGTATTAAATAAAAGAAAAACAGTCAGACATGTCTAGGCTAGGGCTATGTGCAACCAATTGTACAATTATTCTTTTGTTTAATACATATTACAATTCATAATTTGAAAGAGAAGTTTTTGAATTAATATGTTGTGGGTCTCTTATGTATAAGCTAGAATTGGCTTGCATAAAAAAAAAAAAAGAAGCTAGAATTGGCTTAATTAAGAACAACAACCAAAAAGAAAAAAAAAACCACTAAACATTTGAATAAATTAATATTCATCGATATATCTTCATATACAAACGGTAACCGGTGTGATTTTAATTCAGAAAAGAAGGCTGTATCAGCATTTTTAGTTTGGCAATGAAAAAATAGAAGAAGAAAAAAAAACAATTTTCAACAAATTATCACAAAATTGACTAAGAGATCTTTCCAATTTCTCTCTTTTTCTGTCTTTTACTAAATTTTATTAGCAAATGGAATTCCTCCCAAAGTATCGATCAGGGCAATTAATTAAAATTATTATAAGAAATTGTTATAGAGTGGCACACATTTTATTATAACACAATATTATTTGTTATTAAAAATTATTTTTATTTACATATAAATATAATATAAATTAGTATATTATTAAATAATGCATCTATAAATTATAGTCATATATAATATATTGTTGAATCTTATTTAAAATTAATATTAAAATTATATATAAGCACATGTCAAATAAATTTATATTTACATATATTATATTTATAATGTACTTTTTATATGTCACTATATGTAACATTTTTTGTAGTGAGTAGCTCTTTTCTACTAACCTCTTGATGATCATAGTTCATATTTATGATTTGGAAATCACAATGTTTTTTTTAACAAAATCCTAGCCAAAGAAAGGGTCAATCCTCTTGTCTGCTCTGCAGGGCGTTTAAAAAATATTTAAGGATGTTCAAAGAAAAGTGATTTTAAGAGTTTATAAAAAAAAAGTGTGAATTAATTTTCAAGATTAATTTTGCGTAGAGTAGAAGTTATTTTTTGTTTTATTATAATTATAATTATAAAATATTTTTAAAAAGACGGTTTTAATTACAAATTTTTTTAAAAAATTTCAAGTGTAACCTTTTTTTTTTATAAAAGAAATGACTTACAACTTTGTAAGAGAAATTTGTAATTCGATCACTCCAAGGTAATGACTTACAACACCTATTTATTATAGGTATAGGGGAGGTATAGGGGTGCAAACAACTTAAAGCCACAAGAAAAATGAATTCATTAACAAAATCCTAGCCAAAGAAAGGGTCAATCCTCTTCTCTTCTGTGCAGGGTGTTTAAAAATATTTAAGGATGTTCAAAGAAAAGAGACTTTATGAGTTTATAAGAAAAGTGCGAATTATTTTTCAAGATTAATTTTATGTAGAGTAGAAGTTATTTTTTGTTTTACTATAATTATAATTATAAAAAAGATTTTTTAAAAAGACGGCTTTAATTACAACTTTTTAAAAAAATTTCAAGTGTAACTTTTTTTTATTTTTAAAAATGACTTACAACACCTATTTATTATAGGTATAGGAGTGCAACAACTCAAAAACACAAGAAAAATGAATTCAAAAGCTTATAATAAAAAAAAACACGTGACAAATGTGTTAGTACTCAAGCAACTCTAAAATTCTACATGACAGTTAAGAGAATTTGGAAACATACCATAAAAATCAAAGTTTAGGTCGGAAGCAAAATGTGACTTGATTACCTATGTACCAATTAAAAAAATGTTTTAATTAGGGGTGTTGAAAAAGTCTAAGTCAAGTCGAGTAAGCCTGGATTTAACTTGAGGGAAAAAAAAAAAAGAAGAAAAAGAAAAAACGTTGTTGAAGCTTTACAAGCTAAGTATTGTTTAATGGCTTTTGACTAGGGTTTAACCGCTACCAAATCAATAAAGTTATACTTTAAGTTCTATGTTATGGTAATCTATTTAAAATTATGAGTCATAAAAATTAAAACTAAGCAATTAATAGTATAATGTAAATGATAATCAAAAATTATAAATTTTTAAATATTTTTTACATAAGATTTTGTTATTTAAGTGATATATAATAATAATAATAATAAAAGTGATGTAATGTTTTTTTTTTTTTTTTTTTACAGCAACCACATCGATAATTAAACCGGTGAAAAGTATTTATTGATTCGGTAGCAGTTAAACCGTGGTTAAATATGTAATTAAATTAATATTTTTTTTATATTATATATTTTAAGGAATAATCTAATGTAAAATTAAACAAAAGGCATAAAAACTATAAATTAATAAAAATTACTAAATTAAATATTATAAAAGATATAAAATTGATAATAATTTATATGTATGTATAATTCTTAAATATGTTATTATTTATCTTAATTTTTGTTAAAATTAAAATAAAAAGGTAAAAAAGTAAAAAACGGAAAATTTTGAAAACACTGATTTCTGCTAATTTGTAACCTTAATATATTTATGATAACTAAACTATATATAGAATCAAGAGAATATGATAACTAAATATATAATAGAGGATCAAAATGCCGATATTTTATGCAATAAATGTGTTTCCTGTTCCTCCAACATGATTGATGCTAAGCACTTTAATATATATTTCTAGTTTAATTTTCTTATCAAGAAACCAGCTTGGCAAAAAATATATATTTGTAGAATAGATGTTTTACCAATTCATCCGTAAATTTATATTTCGTATCTTGTAAGAAAAATTTACAAAGGATGCTTCTTATTTACGTACCGTTCCAGAAGCTGTGTTGCCCCAAGAACTCCATCTGCAAGCAAATTACAACAAGAAAAAGGTAAACCCAAGTCATCATCAAAATCACCAAAACAATAAAGAAAAAAAATGCTATTTAGCATTTACATTAATTAAACTATTATCACTTCTTCCATCTAACAAGTCCAACGGACGAAAACAATGCATATATTAATGTATCTAGCTCCTCTAAAGTTAGATAATTACATTTTAAAAAAAAATAATAATAATTATTATAATTAATTAAAAATCAACTATTAATATTATAATTAATCTTAAATTTTATTTTATAAAAATTTAATTATATAACAAGTTTTAACGGATAATTTTTTTAATTAATAATTTTGAGTACACTTTATTTTCTAAAGCTTATTCTTCTAGAAGAGTCGAATTCTATATCTATACGTAAAAAATTATAATGATCTTTTCGGATACCTTTTCTACTATTTGTTGACAATCACAAACTTTAGTGTATTAAGAAGAGAAACTTATTAAATGGTACCTGAAATTTATAAAATTTGTGATTTCTAATTTTTTTTTAGGGTTTAAAAAAAACAACATCGTATAGATTCTATATATTGCATATAAAGAGTGCTTACATCCCAATGATTTCGGACTGCGTCACTAACGAATTGTTCATTCTCATATGATAATTTTGAAGCCATCATTGAGATTAAACCTTTGTATTTTGCATCATTCTCCTTTATGCTCTTATCTAAACCAATTCGTGTGTCAAGGTGCCCCACCACGGATAAGAATGCCGCCGATGATTTTTCCGGTGTTATCATCTTTCCTGCACTCACATGGTATCATCATAAAAATAATACATACTATCATTGCTTTTAAAAGAGTTTGTTTATAATTTATTTAACAGAAACACTTTTAAAAGTAACTTATGATATATACACAAAATATTTTCAGCTTAATTATAAACTATTTATGATCGCTTTAACTTAATTACGAAAACAACTTATGCGAAAATAGTTTAATTTTATTTCCTCTTTGGTTTCAGAAACAACTTATTTATAAATATGAATAAAATATATACATACTTATGTCGATCATATGTTGATAAACTTTTTCACAAGTTCTTCTAGAAGAAGAAAATGCAAAAGGTAAAACAAAATAAGCGTGTCCCATAAACTATAATTACGTTGATAAACTTTAATTTTCACAAGTTCATATAGGAGAAGAAAATATGAAAGGTAAAACAAAGTAAGTTTGTTTCATAAACTAAGATTATGCTATACATGTATTAAAATTAATGTTTAGGAGAAGCTTCTCTCATTTAATTTCTCCTTAATTATCCAAACACATCCTAATAGGATAATATGTATTTTTCATACAAGTATTTATTTTATCAACTTTGTTGACAATAATTTTTTTTCAAAAAATCTAATTCACTACTTTTAATAATTTTTCTTAAATATTATTTTATATATATATATAAACCTTGATTAAAGTGACTCAGTCTATATCTTTTTGAGCAATGATGTTATTGATTAACTAATAGGTATGACAATGGTGAGAATAGTTATTGAATTACCTCTTAGAATGTTGAGAAAGAGCCATATGAAGCCTCCATTAGTTGATAATCGATTAAGCCACAACTCCAAGGTGTCCCCAACATTTTTCATGGTGTTTCTTAAGGCAACGAGGATCTTCTGAGCCACAACAGATGTGAAGAGGAGCCATCTTTGACGAAATTCCCTTGCCTCAACCTCTTCTGGGCATTCGATGAATCCTCTATTCTTTAACTTAGAAGACACCAAGAGACTCCCAAGATCCACAACACTCGCATTTTCTGGCTTCAGCAAAAGGTAATTGCAACCGAATAGTTTCTCGGAACCCATTGCTTTACGAAATTGCTCTGTCAATGTCTAAGACAGAAGAAACTTATAGGAAATGGAGTTCACATTTTTACAATATTATATCATATGTATATATTAATATTATTGTCTACTTGGTATCATAGGCTGAAAAAAAAAGTAGTATTCAAAGCATAGTACCTTGGGGAAACGGGTTTAGTATAATTAATTAATGAGTTGATTTTTGGTAATTAATTGATCATCCTTAGCGGATTTTCCTAGCAGTTTCTTTTGTTGGGTCTATGCCTCAATGGAGGCTTATACCTATTTGGGGTGGGAATACACCTAATGCATCGCTTACTTTTACCATTCTAAAATTCCACGTGCGTTTTTGTCAACATTCCTAAACTAGTTGCTGAGTTGTAATCTCACTCTTTTCATTTTTTATTTATTTATTATAATTATACTCACATTATTCGAATTTAAATTTAAGGTATATATGTACATATTACTCAAACTTCTATTATTAAATTTATCTTAGTGGTACATTATTTCGATTTAAGATAAATGATAACAATTTGTACAAGAAAGATAAAAATAAAGATAAGGAGAATTTTTTTAATGCGGAATGATATCCGGACAAAAAATTATACAGTTTTTTTTTAATAACAAAAATAAAGAGATAAAAATTTGAAATGTAATAAATGATAATACAAAAATGATGCATAAATTAATTGTTGTATGATTATTATACATACATTATTACTCAATTTAAAAAGTAAGATGCAAAAAATAATATTGTACAAATTATTATTCCTTCCGTTTCAATTTTTTAGTCTTCTTTAGTGCAAATGAATCAAGGAATATTTAATAAATATAAATTTGGATTCAAATTTTTTTATTTAATATTTCATTATATCTCAATTATATTAAGTCTTTTTTTATTTAAAAACAAAATCAACACTTGATGAAAATAATAGTTATTAAATAAAGATATAATTAAAAAATTATTTATTAAACTTTTAAAATTTAAAAGGACAGTTGTTTTGAGACAAAGTGAAAGTTAAAAGAATTAAAATTTTGTGACAAAGGGTATATAAATTTTTGTACTTTGATCATTATTCTTGATAATGAATAGTTAAGTTTTTTTCTTCGAAATTAAGAGACGAAAGGAAATGCGACATCCACGTGCCTTCTATCTTTACCTATTTTAAACTTTTCTCAGAAAACCAAAGTTGCGTGTCTATCATCTCCAAGGTTGCTTGCATTGTTAGGATAGATTTTATTATTTTATCTTTTTCTAAAAAGAAAAATACCTTTATCAAAGTCATTGAAATTAGTTGAGCCAAATGTTAGGGGATCACAAAAAATAACCTTAATTCGTATTAGATAGAATTGAAATTCCACGTCAGAATAAAAGGACAAACATGAATTTAGAAACATATAAATATTTTTATTGATAATTTGATATGAAAAATTTTAAGTGATAATGAAAAACAAATTCATATGAATGTAAATCCAAAAATAAAAATACTATCATATTCATGTAAAAAAATATATGTAAGATAGGATTAATTCAAATTCAAATTTGAGTCCAATATAATTATACATCTTAAATACTTAGAAAACTATGTCTAATATGCATTATTGTATGTTATATGCTAATGTTCACATGATAGACTCTCAACTGAATAAACTACAAGTACATGTGGAAGTCACGACAAAGTGTATATATTGTTTTTCATTCATTGTCACTAGCTAGCTACCTTCCTTGAAGACTTCAACCAATTAAAATATTAATACAAGTAAATAAATAAGATACTGGGGAGGACACAGAAACAGTGGATAAGATTTTAAATTAGACTTGGTATACATCTGTAGACTAACCTAATTAAACCATCAGCACATTATTAATTAATTAAATTACTCACATAAATTAAACATATATAGATGAGATTACAAGTTGTTTATTTAAACAGAGTACAAGATTTAATGTGATTTTGATCTATTGGAGGTATGTAGAATTTAAACTAACCCCAATTTAAATAGAAAAGGGCTAAATATATGTTTCCAATTTTTTTTTTCATAGCAGGGAATACGTATCCGATCAACCTAATCAACCCAAACAAGATAAATTGAACGACAAGTCAAACCAAATTCAATTTTTCCCACCTTGACTAATTCAAGTTAGGTCTCGACTTGACATAATAAAAATTGAGTTACTCAATCTAATTTATAATTTTGTTATATATTCTATAATTTATAGTATATATAT